GTTGTGGAACCTGCTGGCTCCCTAGGCCAAGACCATAGAGAGAGTGCATGGAGGAGGAAAGAGCTTTCTGTTTCAGCAGATCGTTGACATTTAAGCCAAGGTTAGTGGGAGAAGTGCGGGCGACCTTGTTGGTGCGGCTGCTGTTCTTCATTTTGGTTGAGCCAAACTTGGTGGCAGCAAATGTGGCAGTGGTGAACGTTAAAGGCTGGGTGGAACGGGGCATGAAGGTTGGGCTCACAGTAGCAGAGTGACCAAAGGGAGGCGAAGGAGAACTCGAGACAGAAGATGCTGGGTCACTAATTGGCATGAACACCTGGGCCTCTGGGTTAAAGCTATTCTTGATTTCCTTATCCAATTCACATCCATTTTCATTGGAATCATCCACATAAAGCACTTTCACTGGTCCCTTTTCACCAATTTGGTATGAAACTTCAAACGGGTCAATCCAGACACTAAGATCCTGAGGCAGGTTGCCACGAACATCATCAATGTCCAAACCACTCTCTTTGGATGCTTGTTCAATAACTGGGTCCACTTTCTCCCCTACATGTATACATCTAAACCCTGATCCTTTGTATGGCTTTTCTGGATACCAATGCCCTTCATACTTCTTCTTGAGTAGTCTTTCCAGCTCTTCGCCAAAAATGTTCACACGTCGTCTGGGAAGCTTATTGTACAAATACGAAATAATGAAATTGAGTGCTACTTGTATTTCAAGCTGCATAGCTGCTACAGCACAGAATTACAAAGTCTCCGTTTCAAACCACAAAGAATGGGAGAAATGTTCAAAATACCACAGGAAAGCAAAAATTTGTTCAAAGTGCTGATTCTAGAAGATTATTATTCTTCACCTTGAGTAGTGTTGTTCCTTTAAGAAAAACAAAAGCAAAGATCCAAATAAGGAAAGTGCACAAGCAAGTCAACTAGGCCTCTTATTTTAGCATCACACTTTCCCTAAAATAGGTTATATTTCCCAACTACAGACATTTGCAACACACTGGCACTGTATATGCAACTTAAAAGCTAAGCAGATTAAATACACAGAGAACAAATGCAAGATCACCATGGATGCATTTCAAGTTCTGAGTTTGCAGCTCAGGTACTTAAGTACTGTGGAGAGAAGAGCAAGAGTCTAGGACATAAACTAAACAGTGGTAGTTGTCCTGTAAATGTTTCTGCTACCACCTATAGTTTTGGTGACTGACAGAAGCCAGCCATAACATTAAGATATTTGAAAATAATGCTAATAGACTAAAAAGGAATTCCTCATTTTGAGGCTATAAAACTCTTAGTTTGAAGTGTAACATGTAGTTTTCAATGCTGGTAGAATTTCAAAATTGCTTGAGCTCAAAGAAAAGAGAAGTAATTCCTCTATTTTGATAGAAAATGTGTACTTAAAAAAGAAATCTACATACAACTCCAGAATTATAACTTTATTACAATATTCACACATGAAGTTCATTATGAGGTATCAAGCAAGAAGTCCATCCTTACCAGACAACCAATTTTTAATTACGAATACATTATACTATAAAGAGAATGTATTAAAATCTTCAATGTACTGGGAAATTTGAAAAAGCTGTTAGCCAAATTCCTTACATAGATGGTATTCTCATTTATAATGAAATCAATGAGCAGCTCTATAGAGTTAATAATAAATTGTAATACAAAATACAATGCTAAATCAATAACATTAACATACTACTGAAAAATCATACTCCCCATATTAAAAGCCTGTAAAGACAAGGTTTCTATCTTTAAAAAGTTACTACAAAATTTAATAAAGTTGTGTTTACTCATTAACTTTGTTTTTCAACTGCACTGCATTGCATCGCAACAGTAGTTTTGAAATCTAGTAAGTTCATAAGCTAGAAAGCAAAAATGCACTCAAAATGAGTAGATTCTATTTCCTTGCCCTAAATGATTAGCTTTCAGAGGTTAACCCAGCTTTTAAAGACATTTCCCTTTCCTTTTGCCCTCTTTACATGATAAGAGAACTACCAGCTGTACGATAAGGCGACCTTTAAACGATTGCTGGATCAGCACTGGGTGGGGATAAGAAAAGATCAAGGGCAAACAGAAGATATTTACAAATGCAACATATAAAAGTACAGATGATCTGATTGGACTAGCTACATCGAACATACAAAATGATTTATTAATCCATCTGTTTAACCACCCCTGCACGTAGGAAATATATTACCCTTTCAAGAAGAACAGAAATTAAATTGGCATCCTTTCCCTGGCACAAAGACCTGACTAAACAAAACAACCTGGAACAGTTCAAATGTTTTCTAGCTTTTAAAAAAGAACCTTTTAAAATTAATTATATATGTTAATTACGTTAGTCAAGGAATTGGAGACGAGAGGGGAAAAGGTGGAACTTTTAAGCGGGGTATATGGGCGTTACATAACCAGGCAGTTGGGTCTCATTAGATTTCTGCTCACAGCTCTTGGAGCTCCAGCAGCAGGAGAAAAAGTGCTTTCTATGAAAAGGAAGATGATTGGCCAAGTCCTCTCTCCCCTGGTCAAGCCAGGCCCAGTTCTCCACTGTGTCACTCCCAGTGGCCTTCCCTCTCATCTCCTTGTGCTAGGAACAAGATTTTGAGCCAGAAGGGCAACCACTACCTTTAAAAGTGAATTTTCAACCTGATCGAACATATGTAGGAACAGATATGCTCTCCCATTCTGACCTGGTATTGTCTGGATCTTTACGGCCTCTACTCAAGTAAAGACGGGCTCCCTACCCAAAGGTCCCCCCCCCCCGTCCAGTTATAGCTGGTGTGTTTCTCTCAGCACCATACTATATTCTACCTTCTCTCTCAGCCCTTGCCACCACAGCCTCACAACAACCACATCCATCTTAAGACTGCTGCCAATGCATTGAGTCCCCATCACCCCCACCCCACATACAATCTCTCTTTTGGGTGGGATTATGCCGACCCCCTTCTTCCCCAACCTCAACTGCACTCCCCTCCCCGAACAGGCTGTGCCAACTACACTTGCGCCTCCCCTCCCTCCACCGCCAACCTTCAAGAGGGCCGTCCCAACACTTCTGCCTCCTCCCCCTCCTCCTCCCCCCACCACCAGAGGAGGGGCTCTGCCAGACAACCTAAGCAGCCTCTCCCTCCCCAGCCACGGCGGGATTGGGGGGTGGGGTGGGGGGAGAAAAGCTGTGCCAACCAACAACCACCCCCCACACACTTGGCACCCGAATCCTCCCCCCCTTCCAGAGACACACGGTTGCTGTACGAGGCTGCCTTGTGCCACCGACGCCCCCCCCCCGCCAGCCCCCTTTCCCCAGCCGCTGCCTCGGAGGGGCTGCGCCTGCCAGCGCCTCTCGCTCGCTCGCTTCCCCGCCTCCCTCTGCAGGGCTGTGTCAACACCCTCAGCCAGCGCTGCCCTGTCAGCCCTTCTGCCAACACCCTCCCTCTGCCTCCGCACCAGCAACGCCAGCCAGCCAGGTCTGGTCCGACGCCCCCTTCGCCGACCTCCGTGGGGCGGCCCCACGAAGGCTACCCCAGCCTTTCCCCCCCCCATACTCCTCTCCTCCCAGTCGAGCTGCGCCAACTCTTCAGTCTCTCCTCCTCCAGAGGCGCTGGCACAAAAGCCCCCCACCGCCACCCCTCACGCACACCGCCGGCCCTGCTCTATGGGGCTGGGCGACCAGGCGAGAGGGTGCGGTAAGCCGCCCTCCTCCACCCCCCGAACCTATCTTCTCGGCCGCTGTCGTCCCTCCAAGCCCCGCCGGCCTATGGCAAGTCGCCGACCTCCACCTCCTCCCTCACAGCCGGGTCTTGACAGAAGCAGCAGCAGCTCCCCACGGCTCGCCCCACACGGAAGGAAGGAGGGAGAGATACTCACCCGGGGTGAGTGGGGGAAGAAGGTGATGTGAATAGTGCAAACAAATCCCGGTGGCAGTCCCGGGGGTTGGGGTTGAAGGAAAGGAGGGAGAAGCTCAGTACCGAAGCCCCATAACCCCAGGAAGAGCGCTAGGAAAGAGTGGGGGGAGAAAAAGGGAGGATGGCGCTTCTCACACCCCGGGACGAGAGAGACAGCGCGCTCCGCCTCAGCAGCTGCTAGACGCCTTCTTGTAGCGCCCGAGCGCTCGCCGCTCCTCTATATATGCCTTCCCTTGCCCCGCCCCTTCATCCCGTGTGGCTACGCCCACCCGCTCTCCGCCCACAGCTCTCTCTGGCCCCACCCACCCACCTACCAATCGGCCGTCCCCTGTCCCGGGCGCTGCTCCTGATTGGGGCATTGGGCTTGCCAATAAGGCACAGTCCCCACCCACCTCTGTTCCCCCACCTACTCCTAACCCCTCGGTCCCATCACATTCCCACTTCCCCCTCCCTCCCCTTGTCTTCGCTCTCCCCCCAGCAGAGGGTTCCTATCGTTGCCTTTTTCCCTTATCCAGGTGGACTCACAAACAGATAACCCCCAACCCCCAGCTTAAGAGTGCCCTCCCCATGTCCCTCTGCTGTAGGTTTCACTTTGCGACACACATTTCCCCCTCCCCGCCCAGTTGTTCTATTCTGTTTAATATTTCGGCAGTGACGTAGCTCTGCATTGCATTCGAGGTCTGAGTTACGCCTCGTCTTTTCTTTTCTCCCTTCTGCCGTCGTCCTCAGGCTTCCCTCTTTCTCCTCTGCCAGCTGCTCCCTCCTCTTCCCACATTTCTTCTGCTGTTTGCTTTTCCTTTAACTCTCCTGCCAACAGCGTCGCCCTCTGCTGCTGCCACCTCCTCCTCCATCTTTGCAGACGCTCCTCCCCTGCCTATACGTCCGCTCCGGGTCCCCCTCCCACCCTTCTTATGCACACATCTTTAGTGTATTGATATATTCTGCTCATCGCCATCTTGCTTTCTGTGCCTCCCCCTCCCCTTCTCTACCCCCCGCCCCACTTTCCTCTCAGGAGCCAATGGGAAACGGGCTCTCTACGGCTACGCTCACGCCTCCCCTCATCCCCACCCCCTGCTGCTGCGAGGCTTGTGGTTACGTCAAACGTCTACGTCACTCTCCTTTGATCACACCCCCTCCCTCCCTTCCAGGAAGAACGAAACTACATTTCCCAGGATGCTCCTTGATTTTTGACGTCATCGAGGGAAAAAATGTGCCCGAACCTGAAAGGGAGAATTGCGAGGCATCAAAGGCCAAGAGCTCCTCAGCCTCCTCCTGTCTAAGGTGACCCGACACTAACTACACGGGCAGGGAGCACTCGCGCTTCTTCTCTTTTGGGAGGAGAATTAATTCAGTGACATACCTTTGATAGAAAGCAATGCTAGGATTAGATTTACCTGGTTTAACCAGGGAAGGCATTTCTCCGCCTGTAATTATTCCCGAAGAATGTATCTCAGGCAAACTCAATGTTTCTACATCCAGTCAGGGGTCCCGGTGCCCCCTCCCCGGAATGAAGGCAAATGGAAATGGAGATTGCTGCTGACACCTTTTGTCTTTGGCAAAGCAGGTTTTGCAGGCTTTTGCGTTGCTTTAAAATTCCGCAGAACCCGCTTCTTCAAAAGTATCAGCGTGGGTCCAAAGAAACGCGATTGTACTGTGAATGCCTGCGTTCTTTCCCCTGTCTCTAGCCTTGACCGCTGATACAGACCATTAAATAGTCCTCTGTAATTGAGAAGATCCTAAACTTAAGGCATAACGCCTTAAATAAACCCCACACCCTGGGCTTATCAAAAAGCGAGGGTGTGATTTGAATCGATAGTTGCTATACTTACTATCTATATTGGGTTTTTTAAAAAAACCCAACACAGCTCCTAACACATCGTCATACTCAGAAACCTGTCAAACAAACAGATCCCAAGGCAGGGCTATGTGGCAGGGAAGTTGTTTGAATTTCACGGGCTGAGTTCCCAAAAGGGAGGCAGCAATTTTATCCTCACCCAAATAGTGCTTCTAAATGCACCCCTTTGTCTTCCATCCTACCTTAAAACTGGATGGACTGATCCCCGCGGGTGGTGCAGTGTACCTCAATGGGCGCAGCGATGCACTGCCTCACATAACATACACCATAACATAATACACTCCCTTTAAACACACCCATGTCAGTCATAGCGACAGACATTTTTACTAGCGAGACACCAACCGCAACGAACACTCATAGAAAAATACAAAGGTTTTGGTGTTGTTTTGGAAAAATTGTGTTGGATATATTCCAGTTCTGGCCTTTGGATCTTGCGAAGGAATTTTACATGACGGGAATTAAGAACCCAGCGTGGCAAATAATTAGTGTTCATTATTTAAATACCGCTTGATTGTAGTAACAACTCTTAAAACGGTCATATGATGGTGATGTTGAAGGGAACAAGTATCCAGCGTGGCAAATAATTTAGTGTTGCTTATTTATATACCGCTTGATTGTAACACTTCTAAAGTGTCAGATGATGATGATGATGAAGGTAATAGGCACCCAGCACGCCTAGTAATTGTTGATGATGATGGTGATCTGGGATGGCAAAAAAGGAGGAAAACTCGGGGATATTTGTTTGACGTATAAACAGTGAAAGCGGGAGGGGGGCATTGGGTGGGCAAGCTTCCTACCACAGAGCAGTGGCTGAATAATCTTAGATCCACCAATTCTAATCCCCGCCCCCTTTCCTCTTATCATTGGTTCCCATGCTGGTCACTCACCGGTGACCAGGCTGCGTGCCAATCTCGCATACCCCACCCCGCTGCTGAAACGCATGCGTCTGCGCTGCTCCTGGTAGTCCCTGGGTTTTTAAAAATTATTATTAGGGACGAAAAAAGCAATGCAAAGGAAGCGGGAGAAGAGAAGTTAAAGCAGAGAGATGAAAGGAAGCGGAGGGGGAGGCCTTGCAGGTAAAGCAAACGAGGAGGTGGGTGAGGAGGGAAACGTCGCTTTGCAATTTTGCCCTTTTCTATAGGCGGAGGCAAAGCGCAATCTTTCCAGTGTGACTGCGTTGGTTGGAGCTGGGAGAAGGAAGAGAAAGTCATTGGGCGCGGGAATCTGCCACTCAAAGGGAGGAAGAGCGAAGGGACTCGCGAGGTCCGGTTTCCGTAGTAGCGACGGCGAGGCTTTGCTGAACCAGACAGGATCTCTGCGGTTTGCCAGGCAGCCCTTCCCTGTGGAGCTTTGCCATCTTCGCAGGAAGGGAAGGAATTGCGTTGGTTGCTTTCTCCACGGAGATGACTGAAATCAGCCTGAAGTGCTGCATGGGGGACTTATGAGGCTGTGCAGCGTCGAGGCAAAGCACCTAAAACCGGGCGAGGCCGGGGTGGTGGGTGGGGGTTATGAATCGTGCGAGCGTCGCCAACAAGACTGGAAGAAAAACAACCGGATTTCTGCGTTTGTGTCCGATTCCATATTTGAAACCTTCTTTGCCTTTATGCGCATAGATGCCTCTTTTGTTCTTCACGGTAATACGTAACTTACTGGGTTTTTTTATAATAAAACGTACGCAAAAACGTCGCAGTTGTATGTGCAAAAATACTTCCTTTTGTTTTCTCTCCCTTCTTCTCATCTTCCCGCCGCCCTTCTTTTAATTCCCTTTGAGCTAAAAATATTGCCCACAGGTAGCAACGATGACCGATTGGCTACATTCCCTCCTCTGTCACTGCTTGATTGGTCACTCAGTATCCAGGAGGAATACGTCAAAGTCGGGTTTTTTGGGAGGGGGGTGGCGGCGAATAAGTTAATGGAGGTTACAGTGGAAGAAAATAACCGTGACTGGAGCGCAGCAAGCCATTGCCTCACTTACCTGCTTCAGCAACGTCAAAGGACGCACTTAACTGGGGGCACGTGGTGGAAGGAGGCAGGGAGAGCAAACAGGCCCCCCCCGGGATATCCGGCCTCAGAGTAATTCAAGAAAAAATAAATATTTAAAACACAACTCTCCTAAAATGAGTGGTGCTCCTGTGAAAACTAGTGGTCACCCATATGTTTTTAAGAAAATGAAGGGAGGAGGGGTTTGTATGGGGTACATAAGCAAGCAAACATGTCTTAAGCATAAATCTGAGGCCAGCATTCTTAAATGGTTAAAATACTAAACAACGCCGCCTAATCCAGCCAGGGAGCTCACTGCATTTGGCTAGCCACTATTGAGGAGTTTATATGGTGCTATTGGTAGTGGTGGTGGTGTGGGAAGCCATGCGTTCAAGGGGGGGTTGTGAGGCACTTGCCAGGTTATGTGTGCGCACACACAATGTTTGCATGGAGGATCTCTATGTGCATGCATGCCAAATGTGTGGGTGGCAGGGAAGGGGCATGGCTGCTGGGTGTGGTAGTGATGAGACGCCTGCGTTGCCCCACAACCCCCACCTCCCACAATCCTTGAATACAGGGGGTGGGGTTGTTGGAACCTCCTTTTATCTCAGCCTAACCTCACAAGATTGTTGTCGTGATAAAATGGGGACAGGATGGAGACGTGTAGCTGTGAGTTCCTTTGGATAACCATATAATCTATTGTACAACAACTTTTAAAAGTTTCCTTTTGTAAATTAAAAAAGCCAACGCTGGTGTTACGTAGGAAGCTGCCTTATACTGGGTCAGACCACTGGTCCACCTAGCTCAGTAATTACCTTTGAAGTCCTAAATAGCTTCAGCCCAAGCTACTTGAAAGACTGTCTGCTCCAAGGTGAATGTGTCACTCATAAGAGGCCTGCTGGATCAGGCCAAAAGCTCACACAGTCCAGCATTCTGTTCTCACAATGGCTACCAGATGCCTGTGGGAAGCCCACAAGCAGGACCTTAGCGCAACCCTGCTCTCCCTGCTTGTGATTTTCCAGCAACCAGTATTCAGAGGCTTACTGTTTCTAAGGTAGAACATAGCCCTGTTGTATCGTTCATTTGCTTTCTGAGTTACAGTTGGTGGGGTGGCAATGCATGAAAGGGCTTTCTCTATAGCAGCACCCTGTACATTGAATTCCCTGCCTTCAGAAATTAGCTTATTTTTCTCTTGTGCTCCGCCAGCCTTTGAAGCCTTTGACTCTGCTGTTTCTCTCTTGCTTGCTTGCTTGCTTGCTTTTAGCTCTAGCCCCCTGTGTTCTCTGATGATGCTTTTAGTCTTGTTTGTTGTTGGTAATTTGTTCTAATGTTGAATCCTTGTTTTTATTTTTGTGCTTGTTTTTATATTTCATTAGTTGCTTTGAGTGGCTCCTCTTGGAGGAGAAAATGGGAAATACATTTCTGAAATAAACACTGTTTGCACACAGAATGATAGTGACTGTCCAAGGTTTCAGCTCTTTCCTAGCCTACCTAGAGATGCTGGGCACCAAATATGGGACCTTTTGCATGCAAGACATGTGCTGTGTCCCTGAGCAGCATCAGGACTTCCTAAATACAAAACTTCAAGCTGAACTGCAGATAGCAGAAACTCCTGAATTAGTAGGGCTGGCGGGTCATCAGGCATCTAGGTGCCTGCTACATAGCAGGGATGGGAGCTTGTGGTTAGACTCCCAACTCCCATGTGCCCCAGCCAGCACAGCCAGTGGGATTATGGGAGTTGAAGTCCAACAACATCTGGAGGGCCACAGGTTCCCTATCCTTGTTTTATACCATATGTTAAAGCAAAAAAGGTCCCTCTTCGCAAGATCTTAGGAACTAAAGTTTGACAGAAAAGAAAGAAGAAAATAAGCAGGGCTGTCATCAATTATCTTAGTTGCTTAATCAAAGAAATTATGCAGGGCAATTCTACTCAGATATGTCCCACTGTCTTCAATGGCACTTATTCTCTATTAAGCAGAGTTAAGATTTGAGCCTTAATCAATTACACTTGTTTAAATTTGCATATGAATATAACGATTCTGGAAATTTCCCAATTTTTATACCACCCTACCTCCAAGGTGCTGAAGGCGGCATATAAGGTTCTTTCCTCTTCCACCATTTTGTTACATCAACACTTTGATGCAGGTTAAGCCAACCAAAAGAGAATGACTGGTGCAGGGTCAGCCAATGAGCTACCCATATAGCCCTTTTAAAATGCTAATTCCAACTATTTCTTGTCTAATGGGCAATAAGTGTGATATAACTGAACTTACTAGAGGCAGCCTATGATCTGTCACTTGGATTTTCATATCTCTGAGCTCCCATACTATGGAAATATGCAGCCACCTTATATCAAACCAGAGGATTGCTGTACTATATATATTGGAGCTCTCAAGGACTCAGCCATGTCTATTTCCTCACTGGGGCTTGAACCTGTGACCTTCTGCATGCAAAACATTTTTTTGTCTTAAACACTGAGCCACAGCTCTTTGCTTGAAGTTTATTAGCTACCGGTACCCTTTCCTACCTGGTTTCCCAGATATCTTTTGCTCTTTCAAAACAGCTCACAGTCAGGAGCAATAGTGTACTGTGAATACCTTGACAATTGCTCCCATTGTATAAAGTGAGCTGAACAATACATTTTCATCTCTTTATGGAAGAAAAGCCAATGTTGTATTACAGAAAAGGGAGAGTACTTTAAAAAAATAAGAATAATGTAAAACTGAACACCCAAAAGAAGTACATAAATTGTTAACCTCAAGTCAACTAGTTTAATTTCACACATGCTATGATAACCACATTTTATCTGGTGATATTTCATCATTGTTATTCATCTGTGTGATTAATCATGATAGCCATTCTTTTCAGTAATAATATATCAGCTGTGGTCCTTGGACAGTCTTTCTGGTGAACATAGGTGTCAATCATGTGGAGGGGAAATGGCAGTACATAACGTAGTCATCCAAGTTTAATTAATACCAGTACTTTTTCAAGCTTTCAGCATGCCTCTATGACTGTTGGACTACATGAAGGGCGTGCTTATGTTACCATTCATGATAATAATTACTAATGCCACTAATGACAAACTGGCATATGGGAAAGACTTTTCATTTGTCAAGTTCTTAATATACTATGTTATCTCAGGAGTCCACACAAACCAAGTATTTTATAATAAAATATTAGTGAAGTTTTTGGCAACAGAATGAAGGGACAATTTATCTAAAAGTATCTGTGCCACCTCTTCATTATAAAGACCTTTATAATCCTCTCCAATAAGTGATTACTAATTCTGGAAAATATCTGGCTTTTATCCTTTGATGGTGTTGTTAGGCTTACCTACAAGGGCAGCGTGCACCAGGATTATTTGTATGGTTGTTTTTTGGAAGTGCCACAAAGCAGCATAGCATTAAGTATTCTGCAGTTACAGTAGCTCATTCAGTTGGTGGAAAAACAGTAACAAATAAGCACTGCTAGCTGTCACTGGTGCTGTTTCTTTTCCACCAGTGCTACATGAATGCCTCTGGTTGTGTGAGTTGAATTGCCAGTGTGCTGCCAGTTGCAACCACCTGATTTAAGAAAGCAGCCCTATTCTAGCATAAAAGGATACCAATGGTCAAAGCAGGAGAGGGCCTTCTCAGTGGTGGCTCCCAAATTTTGGAACTCCTTCCCTAGAGAAGTTAGACTGGCTCCCTCATCCTTCTGCTGGCAGGTGACCTTCTTATTTCAACAGGCTTTGGGGAACTGACCACTTTTAATGAAAGGGCTGGTGCCGTGCTGTTTTAATTGTAACTACCTGTGTGTTTTTAATAGATATTTTATAGTTATATATAGTTTTAATTCTATTCAATTGTTTTAAAATTATTGTTCCCCCTCCGAAATGTTTTTGGCTGTTTCTATTTAGGTATCTATAAGCCACCTTGAGTCCCTGTCATGGAAAAAGGCAGGGGATAAATCAATAAAACAACAATAATAACTGATAAGAGGTTTGTAAAAAAAGTGTGCAGTGTGTAGAAAGTGAAAAGAGATCATTTTTCTTCCTCTCTCATAACAGAAGAATTTAGGGTCACTTGGTGAATCTGACTGGCAATAGACTCATGATGGCAAATGGAAATTCATATTTGCACAACACATAATTAGCTGACAAAATCATCTGCCACTAGATATTGTGAGGGTCACTGGCTTAAATGGCTTCAAACAGAGACTAGTGAAATGAATGGAGAACAGGCCAGTTAACAGCTAGTAGCTGAAAAGCTAAATGGAACCTGCAGGTTCAAGGGCAAATTTATGCCTCCAAATACCAATTATTACAGGAGAAGAGGGAAAATAGGAAGAGAAGGGCTGTTACTTACATGTCTTGCTTGTTGGTTTACTGGACTCATCTGGTTGTCCAATGTAGTCAATAGGATTCTGGCTTAGCTAGATCTTTGGTGTGATCCAGCAGAGCTCTTCCTGTGTTCATTCTGGAAAGGTTGAGAGATCAGTCATGGTGATGCTCGCCACAGGCTTCAGGTGTTGAATTATTTCTTCCCTGGATATTAGCAAAACTTGAACCAACCTCGTGCTTCATTCATATGCATGGTTGTCAGCTCATAGTCCCAATGGAGCCACCCTGCTTTTAATAATCGCATGGTAGGGGAAGATCAGCACACATGTCATCTCTTATTACCATAGCTCCAGTAACCCTTGCATAGTGTCAACATCCCTAA